CACTTCCTCAGAAAGAAAAAAAAGAGAGAGAAGAGAAAGAAGAAAAATAAGAAAAGGAAAAAACTTTCCGACGATGAGAAAATGGAGATCGGAGAAGAATATCCTCCATGATCATTGACCTTCAGGTTCTTCTCTTATCTTTCTGCATCGATGTATATTATCAAACGAATGCATCGAAGCGAGAAAATGTATGTAAATGCTTAATGAAAGTTTCTGTTTTTACGATTTGGTGAATGTGCAAAATTCAATCTTGAAACGAGTCGAGTGATCTGATCGATGGTTTTTATGATTCGTTTCGATTCTGTGTCTCCTGTCTGAAATCTGAATCATGTTTTTTAGATTAGATATGACGCAAGTTTGTTAATTTTTCGAATCTTATTAAGATCAATGTGAATTTGGTTACAGTAAGATCTGTGATTCTATTAGATGTGGTAAATGGTGGATTTTGATCTCGACCCATTAGTTTCTGTTCAATGGGTGGATCCTGATTGATGTAGTTATGTTTTTGTTTTTGTTTTTGGTTTTTGATGTAAATGTTTGAAGTGATGTTGCAGAAGAGTTGGGGAAGTGAGGACTGATGTGTTCTGGTGGAGAAGGGAAACAATGGAGTTGTGGAAAAGCAGGTGTAGTGAGTTTGCAGAAAGTAGGATCTTTGGTTCGAGATTTGAGCGAGCCTTGTCTTTCACAATCACCCATTCAGGTTGTTATAACTGTAAGATCTTCTCTTTTACCTTTTTCAATCAAAATTTATGTTTGATACACTCAGGCAGATATATTCACTTTCTTGTGTTTTGATGTAATTGTATGACTAAAAGTTCGATTTATAATGCACAGATCGGCAAAATGCTTAAGCCAGAGAAGTGGCAGGCGTCTTTTGATAGCGAAGGAAGAGTTTCTGGTTTCCAAAAGGCGCTCAAGTTAATTATTTTGGGGGTATTGTGTTTTCCATTTTGCAGAGGAATTTGTATCAGTTTTTGTATGTTATTTTCAATATAATGCTTTAATTTATGATGTTTGTTCCTTACTAGGGAATCGATCCGTCTATTAGAGCTGAAGTTTGGGAATTTCTTCTTGGATGTTATGCATTGAGCAGCACCTCTGAGTACCGTAAGCAACTCAGGATAGCTCGAAGGTTAGACTATTTGGTTAAGTTAATGTTGTATCATAGCTTAGACCAAGAAAGAGAGAGAGAGAGTGTGTTAAGTGCAAGTTGATTTTAGTCAATAAGCTTAAAGTGTTATTTGAATTTTCACGCAGGAAGCGGTACAATGAATTGCTCAAGCAATGCCAGACGATGCATTCAAGTGTGGGAACAGGTTCACTTGCTTATGTTGTGGGGTCTAAAGTTATGGATATGCGGAAATCTTATAGAGATGAGGTGGTAAAGGTTGCTGCTACAGATGAAAACAGAGAAGAAGCTTGTATAGATGATAATAATAATGCGAATACTGAAAATCATCACAGTGATTGGAGTAATAATGGTACTGATACATCTCATGTACACAGAAGGGGAAGTTCTAGTGAGTCTGTTGATTTAGTCAGCGGAAGAGAAAGTCCGGAGAGTGTAGTATACAACACTTCCTCTTTTGTATCAGCTTCTAGTCCATATGGCTATGCTTCCCCAGACGGTTATTTTGACTTTCCTTCGCTACCGGTCACAGATTTGTTTGGGAGAAATAGTTTAGATAAGATAGAGGTTTCTACTCCAGACGAGGATGCTTCATTGCAAAATGACTTAAGATCTGAGGATGAGAGAATGCACAATTTCCGAATTAATAAGAATGCTGATTTAGTTAGAGAACAAAAGAGGTCCACTTCAGAGATCGAAGTGATGCATTCAGATTCTGTTGGACCATCGTCTCAGTCAGGTCGCAATACAGAGATAGATGATGGTTTGAGAATATCAGATGTTCCTGAAATGGCATCAATAAAGGAAACTCCATCTCGTGTTGGGAATGCAACAGAGGATCGAGTGTCTGAATGGCTTTGGACATTGCATCGAATAGGTACAGATTATTTTCGTCTCTTTTGTTTTGAGAACTTGCTGACATCTTCCCTTTTTGTCTCAGCTTGCATCTTTTCATAGTTAACTTTCCTGTTTCCTCAGTTGTTGATGTGGTAAGGACGGATAGCCACCTTGAGTTCTACGAGGATCCAGGAAATCTAGGAAGAATGTCGGATATCCTTGCGGTTTATGCTTGGGTCGATCCTGCAACTGGTTATTGCCAAGGTTCCATATATCTCTCAAATTTTGGTTCTTTTTTTTATGTTAAGTTGAAACTTAATGAGGTTCTACTGGTCTAGGATATTAACTGCCTCGTTGCAAATTTGTTAACAGGCATGAGTGATTTAGTCTCTCCTTTTGTGGTTCTTTTTGAAGATAACGCCGATGCCTTTTGGTGCTTTGAAATGCTCATAAGAAGAACGGTAAATTCAAAGCTTACTAATTTTCTTTTATTTTGGGCCCTAATATGAACCATGCATTATGCTTTTGCTATGTGTCTATTTGTGTAGCGTGCGAATTTCCAGATGGAGGGACCAACTGGGGTGATGGATCAATTGCAGTCACTGTGGCATATATTGCAACTCACAGATAAAGATATATTTTCTCACTTATCGCGTATTGGTGCTGAAAGTCTTCATTTTGCCTTCCGGATGCTTTTAGTTCTGTTCCGACGGGAATTGTCTTTTAACGAAGCTCTCAGAATGTGGGAGGTTTGTTGTTCTTCTCTGGTTCACTTCATATAGTTAGGCTCTTTGTACGGCTCTGTTTCTTTATTAGTCATATTTATTTATGGGTTTTGTCTTTGATGTAGATGATGTGGGCAGCTGATTATGATGAATCTGTTTCTGAAACTTTGGAGAGTGGTTGCCTGGAGCCTTTGGTGATTCAGCTTCCAAGAAAATCTGAAGCTGAGGTGCGTGAAGAAACAAATGATGATGGAAATGGTAATACTACAAAGAGGGAACCAACTTCAAAGAGCGGGCCAATTTCAAAGAGCAGCGGTTTGTTGTCAATGAGCGGTTTGCTGCCAAAGAGTGGTCCGTTGCCAAAGACTACTGGTCCATTCCCTGATGAGAGTGGGATAAAGCCGGCATCATCCACTTATCACTTCTGTGGTTTGACAAGAAGCTTTTGGTCGAGGAACGATAGAACAACACATGTCCCTTGCGTAGTTTCTTCTGTTAGGAAAGGAGAAGATGCTCTTCCTGTCTTTTGTGTTGCGGCAATTCTAATCATGAATCGACATAAGATCATAAAAGAAACTCACTCGATCGATGACATGATACAGGTAAAAGATAGTTTTTTCATTTGTATTATGTTCTCGTTACATGCTCAATTCATGAGATGCTTCTATACTGATTCATAAGCTATCTTGCAGATTTTCAATGATAAGGTGCTTGTATTTCGCGTGAGAAGATGCATACGCACAGCCATGAAACTTCGTAGGAAATACATGTACAAGGTTAGATATGCCCAACAAATAAAATATCTGTTCTGGTGCTGGCTTATTCTGTTTTCTATCTTCGCCATTTAACTTTTGAACGCTTGTTAGAGTCAGGTAATCAAGACGAAGAGCCAGAATCATAACCAGGTTCAAATCCAGCATCAAACTCATATGGAGAGCCAGAGACAGGAGGAGATTCAAGGCCATGGTGAGAACCAGAGCCAAGCACCAAGTTTACGTCATAGTCCTGCTTCTCAGAATGGTGACTAGGAAGATTCGACCCATAACAGTTATAAATACTAAGCAAAAAAAAAAAAAGAAGCTTACACAAGTAGGTCATCTTTGATTATCGATTTCGAGGAAGGGGTTTCTGTTTAAAGATTCATGCTTTGTTCTGTGTCTACGACATGTTTGATAACTTTTTCGAGGTAATCGTCTTCTTCTTCTTCACCTGAAGAGCATGTCCATGCATAATGAAATCTTCTTCTGGCTTGTTGCATATATAAGGAAGTGTTGGCAAACGATCTTACATATACTATGATAAATCTTAATCACTACGAAAGTCTCTGTAATCAACTTATATACTTATAAAATTCTTATGTCTTTTGTTGTTTGGCCTCTTCTTGAAGCTAGCAGGAAGGAACTTGCAAGAGATTTAGAAGCTTGTAAAGTTCAATCGCTTGGAACTTCGTAAACTGAGAGTCTTAAGACTCATAACCAAAGAGGTTAGGCAAATAAAATCTCATTTCTCTTTCGTGCGGGAACATTTTTGATTTCATACCCTTTATACTTATGTGAATAACAGAAACAAAATTCTACTTTTTAGACACACGAAAAGAATCAATCTCCTTTAGCTATAGAGAAGCCTTTTTCAGGGCGATTACAATGTAATAAATGGAAAACAAATTTATATCTGAAACATAAATATTTCGATCTTGTTTACCACTTTTGTTTCCTGTTTATACCTTCTGTTTACTCTTTTAGCTAGCTTTGGAGCTGTGTTTAGTTTCTACGCCTGCAATCTCTTCGTATCTCACCTTCGTTTTTAGTTAACACATTTATCTTTCCCATTTTGCTCATCGAAAGAGCAAATGATTTCCGAAAATCCTCAAAACTCTCTGAGAATTCCTCAGAGATCTGTTTGGTGTCATCATGGTAAAGTAGTTGTTGATCTACTTCAAGTACAGATTTGTTTGATAGAATCCTGGAGTAGAATGAACTTGTGAAGTTGTGGTTTGAGCCCGAGTCCGGATTTAAGTACACTAGCGGATCGGTCTGGCCTTTCCTCGTTCTTGGTGGACATTGCTTTGCCATTTCAGACAGGAAAGACTTGTTTATAGTCGGGCTTGGTTTACCGGTCTTGTTGAAATTGTAGAGACGGTCAATGACGTAGCTGCAATGTGTTCTCCCCATTGAATGTGATCCTGATTTTGGAGTTCCAATTTAATTTAACCGAGGCGAAACAAAAGTTTTAACTGAATAAAAACCCGAATATGAACTGATGCCGAATCTATACTGAACTGAAAAATCAAAAAACGAACGGAAATGGAATTCCTAAACCCTGATAAACCGGTCTCTAAGATATTGGCAGGAAGAAAAAGTTGACTGACCTAAAAGTGTAGCCATGTCAAGAACACTCAAGCCTCTGGATTTGAAGTAAGCCATGGCTTCTTCCCATGAGATAGACGGTGATGGTAGGTCCACGGTTTGCTTATCCGACGTCAAACCATCTCTCCTACCGGTGAACACAGGATAAGATGGTGCACCCGACTGTAGGAAATCATTTCCCCATATATCTCAGCTGGTCAGTATCTATATTGATCCATGTATAGAGAGAAGAGACCTATAGCTAGTAAAGAGAAAGAGATATACCAAATGAACAGCATCCCGAGTTGCAAGATTAAGAATGTCGGCGCAAGAGACAACACCGGGACATCTTTGTTCCAAAACTATTTTGATTTTTTCTATGATCACGAATTCTCCAAGTCCTCTGTTTTGTGGTGCCATTCTCTCTGAGTTTGGACCTTCTAGAAGAATTGATGCATCACATCCCTATCATTATATATAGTGTCACACACACACAAAATGTGAGATAGCCAAATCTGCTTATAAACTCTTTAACACTCAATTGTTTTGTGGTTATACGTATTATATATTCTTTGATTCATATGATATATGAATGATTAAATGGTAATTAAAACAAGGATGAATAAGAAAGAAAACGTACGGAGACAAAGCAATCGGAGTAGAGAAGACAAAGAAGCTTAGGAGCAATGCTTTTGTCGTTCTTGTAAAATATCCCAACTTGGTGCCTCACAAAATTTTCAGCATTCTCACAAGTGTTGTAAACTTTGTAGTAATGCCACGTCAGCTTCTGCATCGACGGCGTCATCACGGCGGCTTGCACCGAGCCAAGGTTGATGGCTCCGACTACCACCGCCGCGAGGAAGACCTGATACATAACCATGTCACGGTCAAGCTATTTGAGTGTTGAATGGAGAAGACAAAGAGATGTGTTGTTGAGTACTAGTGACTAGTGAGGGTTTATATAAGGAAATTGATTGATTTTGAAGGTACTTATTGGTTTTTGTCCACGTGGCATATCTGGCTAGGATTGGGGTACTATTTTATATATTAAGTGATTATAAGTTTGATTTAAATAAAAAATAAAACAAGTTTTGCAAGCATAATAAATCGGATCCTTGTTGAGTTTGTTTAGGTACCGTGTAAGGTAAGTTGCTAGCCCGTAATGTCGTCTAGGCATTAAATTGCCGACTCTAAACCCATTATG